CAGCGAGGTGGCTCTCCGGAGGACGGTGGTGAGGCCTTGTAGCCAGCGGATCCCGAAGGCTCCGTGTCAGAGACAGCGTGAGCTGCTGTGCTGATCGGCTCTGAGGGAACGCGCTGGGAGGAGGCGGGTGGACAGGAAAACATCTCCTAGGACAAGGTTTCCAGGGAAGAATTGTTTTCTATGTTTTCATTTTCTATGAATACCACGTGCACAAACATTTCCATTTCCCCTTGGTAATTTAAGGGCAAGAATATTTACCACAAACACATAGATAGAGCATTTTTTTCATGACAACCTGAAACAGCTTTTTTTTTTTTTTTTTTCCATTTGCTTTGATCTCTGGAGCAGCCGAGATGCTGGCTGTGGTAGCAGACACTAATGCCAACAACTCCCCACACCGTTATACACGCTGATGGGAAGAGGTAATCCTTCACACCTCTGCTTCCTTCCATCCAAAGCAGGGTCACACCTTCTGCTGTCCCTCTCCTTCTACCTCCGCCCCACACCACAGGGTGCAGTCCTGTCCCCCACCCATCACTGCTGGGCTGAGCCTCTCGGCTCTGATCCACATCCTCACACCATGTCAGCCCCTGCTGCTGCTCTCCACTGGAACCCCCTTCCTGTACCACCAGTGGGGTACACAGCATCATTTGGGAACACATGGCCAGTTATATATCATACAGAAAGATTACAAAAATCCTGGTGCTGTAGCAACATGCTCAGGCTGAGTCACAGCATTAGAGCACACAGAATAATCCGTAGGTAGTGGTATCTAAAATTAGAGTTGTAATTTCAGCTTTTGTTCTAATGTGAATAGGGAAAGCATGTTTTTTATGTTTAGGCTTCCTAAAATGATGATTGGTTTATTACACGTCCTATTGTGACATCCTGTGGTTAAACACAGTATTACAGATACCCTCAGATCACAATTTTGACCACACAATTGCATAAAATTGGACTATATGGAATTAGCAGTGGTAACTCATATCTATATTACATATTCAGTTTGGCCAACCACAGCCTTCATTATAGCTTTGATCTTCCCCAAAAAGTTCTGCTGGATGAGAAGAAATCCTATTGAGCCAAACATGAATATGGGATAGCACAGATAGTTTGTTCTGCATTGGCCAGAAATGACATTATCTCTGCCCTTTCTGATGAGAGGCCTACAACTCAACATGTTGATTGTTTACACGCTATCCCTGTGAAGGGCCATAAATCCATGCTTCCTCTTTAGGCAGCATTTGTATTCTAATGATTAAGCTTCTTCAAAGAGAAACAAGAGGCACACAACAGTCTTTGCACAACTACAAGGCTGTATAAAGCACGTGCATTAACTGCATTTACACTCACATCTTACAGTGTTATCAAAGGTTATTTTTCCCCAGGTCAAGGAACTCTCTGCTATGCAAACTGCTCATCCTCCCACCTCAGCAGAGCAGCATCAGGCACTCATCGCTGCAGGGACTGCAATTACCCTTCAGTTAGTCCTAAGCCAACACGCCAGCCCACCAGCCCCAGCATGCAGAGGAATGGCTCCAATGACACATGAAATTGAGGTCTTGACCCTCTGACATCATCAGTAAGCCTTGGCATTTTTCTCACAATTAGCTTGTGTGAGAGGTCTACTTAGATCCCAGCTGGGGAATTAGCATTGTTCATTAACAGCACATTTCCATTTCATCAGCCTACAATATTTCAGGCCTCAAGCTAAGCAGCTGGATATTCATGCAGTTTTAAAGAGCCAAGATAGCTGGTCAAAATAATAGATGGAGCATGTCTGTTATGTCTTCACTTGTTTAAGCTTTCCAGGAAGACAGCAAGAGTAGGCTCCCTAGACAATGCTCTATTTTTGCCTCATTCACATTACACAAGACACAAACAGTTAATGCTACTTTCTCTGGCTTTCTTTCCCCCTCCCAACTGCAAAAAAATACCATGCAAATCTAGGTTTCTATTTAAGGGACAATAAATTCTAAAGAATTATACTGTGCATGCCTCTGAGCCTTCAACGAATTGCTTAGGGTGGGCCTAGAAAAACTAAGTATGGCTTTATAAATCAAGTACTTCCAATGACATTTGGAAATCAAGAGGCAGCTTATATAAAACTTGCTACACATTGATATATGTTGTTTATCAAGCAGAATGCTGCATTGTGCGGCAGTTCACTTCCTGAAAGATTGAGACATACAACAGTAGCTTGTATTTCAGACTTTCATCTTAGGAGACTCATAGCTCAGACTTAGCATGACCTAAGCAAAGCTGGCTGTTCCATACTAATTTTAGGTTTTTTTCCTACCACTATTCTTCCCCAGTTTTCTCCACCACATATTTTTCATAGTATCACAGTTCTTATTCCAAATACAGGAACAAATAAAGTTGGCTGGAAAAGGGTGACACTTTATTGAACACGTGAAACATTGTGATAGAAAAATAAATTAACAGCATAGAAAATTTTAAAGACCTATAGACAAAATTAAAGTAGATAGAGATTTGATCCAGATGTGAAGAGCCTCTACTATCTGCATCTGAAAGACATAAGAAAGCACTGTAAGAGTGACACAATTAAAGCTTTAGGTCACAAGGAGATACACCATGGCAGGGAAGGGCTTGGCCATTTATTTTATTCAGGTGCTTGCTATACTTTCCTCAGCATTCTGAGGACTTGACCTCAACAAGCCTCACACCAAGCAGGTAGGAGACCAGCCTGCTGTTACAATTTGACATCCTAATGCTTGTGTCTATAGAGCTGTTTTAATCACTACAGTATGGAGAAGTAAAGATTTACTTGTGCTGTCAGAACCCCTCTGCCACATTCCCAACACTGATCAAACTACCAATTTCAGAGCAGCCAGTGGTGTGACAGTGGCACTCCTACACCATGTTGACATAAGACTATTTTTAAACAAGCTTGTTTGTCTCTCCTCATTCTCCAGCTCATACCTGTTGTGCTGAAGACCCCCATTAGATGGCACTCCAATTGCTCCTGCTGACTTGAAGGCAGTTTGAGAGGCTCTCATCAGAGCTGCGTATCTACAAAGAAATACAACCAGGCTCAGCACCTCTTATGCACACTGCCAGTAGTTTCACTCTTCCATCCAGTTTAACAATCCACATCTGTCACACATTCCTACAGCCCTATTCCACAGAACAAGGAAAGTATATCCGCCTGCAAGAGACAGGTTTTTATTAAAACTAAGTTTAAACTTTATTTGGTAAGGGATTGATTTTGTTCTTTGTTACTTCAAAGCGCTAAGAAAAACTTTGCAATTCTAGTATTTAGATCCAGGCCCCAAAGGGTACTTGAGATGGCCAGTGTCTGTTCACAGTTTGGAGACAAGAGTCATGCTATCAAGATAGGTAATCTTGGAAAAATTTTAGGAAGGCATTTAACAAGAAGCTTTTATCTTAGCCCACAGACTTTCAGAAATTAGGCCCAAATACAAAGAGGAAGTAGTGGCTATTTTATTCAAGTGATCAGTAGCTTACAGAATTCCCTATTTGTCTGAGCTCACCCCCAAACCCCTGACACCAGCTCTGAAATTTCAGCTTGAGCTCAAGCTATCATAAACACAACTTACCCTGCCTTGGGGGTGGGGTGGCTGCTCCCTTTACAGTCGTGATCCAGAGGATGCCGATGTTTTATGCAGAAGTTGCCACCGCACTGTTCACAAACTACCTTCATCATTTCTTTCCTTTTGCAGCCTGGCTTTAAGCACTTGTTTGTGAAGATCTGAATAACAGAGGACATGAAGTTGGAAAGCTGATCCCAAAAAGCAAGCAAGCATTGCCAAGTAACAACCAAGCTGAAATACAAATGCTCAAGTGCCCTTATAATTAAGATGAGGCATAGCAAGCTTCCACACATTCTGCTTCACAAGCATTAGGCAGGTAGTTTAGACTTCAACAGCACTTTCCTTACCTTCTGCTTTTGCTGTGCTGGATTGTACTTGCAGTCCTTATCCATGTGGGCTCCAACCACAATATCTGGTATTTCCCCCTTCTGTACAGGGACAGGCACGTTACAGAGTGGGCACACCGGAACCTGCACATTCTAAGAACATACAACACAGATCAGAAGTCCCACCCAATTATTTTTGTCCTTCCCCTTCTCTTACCTATAGCTGATGGACATGTATTCACAAGCGGTTTATGTTCTACTCATTTATAACACTGTTAAAGATATACTTCAAAGGTAACTGCAAATCATTATCCAAAAATTAGTTGGAGATGCTTTGCCAAATCAATTTCTAGCAATGTATTTGGTAAGCTGACTTTAAATATGCTTCCAGGCTTTCTGGAGTTACAGTCTTTGAACACTTCCAACACCAGAGACCAAAGTTTGGCCCCACTGACTATTTTTTCTGTAGTTTCATGTTTGCTGTCCTTCATCTTAACAGACTGGGGCTGCAGATAGTTTTGGGCCACAATACATTACTTAAAACATGAAGTACTCCTCTCTGGAAAGATGTGGTGTAAGTGAAAGACACTAGAATCTCGCAGTACTGACCTCTGAAATGTTGTTTCCATATATTTCAAATTCAGCTGTATCATTAACTTAAATCTTGTGGTTCTATCCACTTTTTCTGAAACCACAGGTCAAGTTTCAGAGCAGCATTTGCGCATGGCTTGCAATCCTGCCGTGTGAACTGCTGACTCACGTATAGGAACTTACTTTCTTGTAGGCTGAGCTACACTTGTGGTCATCGTAACGGATGTGATCTTTACAGAAGACTTCCCCACATGCATCACATTTCAGAGGAAGGAAATCTGGGAAAAGAATAAAAAGAAAACAGGATTCTTATGGAGCAGAGCTAGCAGCTGTAAGAGTACTTGCTAAAGACTACCAAAATTCTAAAGCAAATTTTTGTCTAGTGACAATCCAATTATCTCAAGGGAAAGCATATCATTCTTCATGAATATTAGAAGTGCTAAGTTCTCCCCCTTTTTATGCACAGTGTCAGGCTAACACAAGCTGTAAATACCTCAGGAGCTCCTTCAGCACAGAACCTTTGAGCGAGGCATTAGTCAAGCACCAGGAGCTGAAGTACAAATCCAACACCCACTCAAAAGTATCGCTGTTCTTTAAAAAACATCCCTCAACAGCTGAGCAACATACAAGAACAAAATAAAGTGGGCTCAGCTATTACTCCCTACAAGGCCTATCTAAGGGGAACCACCAAAGCAGCGCTGGTGCCTGCTACTGACCCGAGCACCCCCGTACAGACCTGGCTTACGGAAGAGACGCGGGGTACAGGCTGACACACACGCACACCCCCCAAGACACAAGCTACGCGCCCC